TGCTAAAGAAACATTATAGAATAGCACCCTTTGATGAGAGATATGAGCAAGAGGCTTCAAGAAAACTTGTGTTTTCAGAATTATATGAAACCAGTAAAGAAACAAAAAATCCATGGGTATTTGAACCCGAGTACCCGGGAAAAAGCAGGGGTCTATTATGACATAAAGATTAGGTGCCTAACGGACATTGTTTATCTTGAAAAACAAATATTTCTCGACATAGAAAAAAATCTTTTTTATTTTTAATTTAAGAAACTAGTGTATTTTTTTGAGGGCATAATTCGTCAGACTCTTGGTAGAGTCTAGAAGACCACGACTGATCCTCAACGAATTCCCCCAATTTGCGACCTACCATAGGATTTGTTATGTAAATAGGTATATGTTCCTTTCCATTATGAATCGCGATTGTATGGCCAACCATTGTGGGTAGAATGGAAAGTGCGTATTGGTTTACGTAGGAATGCACGTTTTAGTTTACGGAAGAGTGCACGTAGAATAACAAAAGGGGTTATTCATGTTCAAGCTAGTTTCAACAATACCATTATAACTGTTACAGACCCATCCACCCATACGGGGATGGAGCGACAGAAGTATGGAAATAGGATAAGGTAGCGGCGAGACGAGCCGTTTAAATAGGTGTCAAGTGGAAGAATTTTCTTCTTTTTTTATTAACATTAAGAAAAAAGAATATAATTAAAATGGAATTGGCAATATAATTTTTATAGACTTTTGAAAGAAAAAAAGGGGAAGGAACAAACGAGGATAAGAGAAATTTGCTTTTAATTTTTTATCCAAGTTAGATATATCGCATACTATTCTTCCTTTTTCATCCGCCCAGAAGGTAATGGGTTACTCCTACAACGCGTCCTTGTATAATGCTCAAGGCTCTAGGCTGAGTAGCAGGAGCAACTTTTAATTTGTTATGAGCCCAAACGATAGATTCAATGAGTTCTTGCCAATAACCACGACCGCTGAATAAAAACATTAAACTGAAGGCCCAGACAAAATGAGCACCTAAGAAAAAAAGACCATATGCAGATAATGAAGAACCATAAGACTGAATGACTTGCGATGCCTGTGCCCACAAGAAAGCCAGGGGTACAAATGAAATGAAAATGAATTGATAAAACATTCCTACAAAAAAATTCTGCCACTTATACTTTATGTTATGATATTCTAATCAGATTGGATGGCAAAGATTTCTCATTTTATCTCCTTTCTATGAATGTAATAAAGCCGTAATATAATATACTAGAAAGTTTGACTTTACTCGTAAACCTAATTGGTTACTTCCAATTACGTAAATCAATAGTTCAAACCGCACTCAAAGGTAGGGCATTTCCCATTGATATAGGAACTTTTGTCGAAGTGTAGGCGGAAAAATTGAATATGGAGTGAGGATAAAGAGACCCATCTATCTACAAATTCTATTTGTTCAATAGACCTTTGTCAATGGAAATACAATGGTAAGAAAACAAATTAGATAGAAAAAGTAAATAAAATAGGGGCTTATGTTGGATTGGTGGCAGCAGTGGGGAATTTTCCGCAATGGGCGAAAGCCTGACGGAGCAATGCCGCGTGGAGGTGGAAGGCCTACGGGTCGTCAACTTCTTTTCTCGGAGAAGAAACAATGACGGTATCTGAGGAATAAGCATCGGCTAACTCTGTGCCAGCAGCCGCGGTAAGACAGAGGATGCAAGCGTTATCCGGAATGATTGGGAGTAAAGCGTCTGTAGGTGGCTTTTCAAGTCCGCCGTCAAATCCTAGGGCTCAACCCTGGACAGGCGGTGGAAACTACCAAGCTGGAGTATGGTAGGGGCAGAGGGAATTTCCGGTGGAGCGGTGAAATGCATTGAGATAGGAAAGAACACCGACGGCGAAAGCACTCTGCTAGGCCGACACTGACACTGAGAGACGAAATCTAGGGGAGCAAATGGGATTAGAGTCAGGCTTTCGCCCATTGCGGAAAATTCCCCACTGCTGCCTCCCGTAGGAGTCTGGGCCGTGTCTTAGTCCCAGTGTGGCTGATCATCCTCTCGGACCAGCTACTGATCATCGCCTTGGTAAGCTATTACCTCACCAACTAGCTAATCAGGTGACTTGTCAATTTTATTTCTCATGAAAATAGCAAGTTAACTCAAAGAATTTATCACACAAATATTCAATTTGTTAGAACTTGCTTAGTAGTGAACTGGGAAGAAGAAGAAAAACAAAAGGCTGGTGCTTCCCTTGTTGAGGTAAGAGCAAATGATCTTATTCGCGATTTCCTAAGAATTGAGTTAGTCAAGTCCACTATTTCATATACACGAAAAAGGTATGGTAGGACAAGTGGAATGTAGGCTAAACTTTTTGATTTTTTATTAGTAACAAGTAAATATTTTGTTTGGAGGTAAGAAACTTGCGATATTGAGGGGATAAATACCAACTAATCAAGAGACATGAGACAATCCACAAAGCAATTGATCATGATCAAATTTGTAAGCCCACTTGGATATTGAGCATTTACCCATAAGAATAGGATTATTTTCAATGAGTAGTTGTAGGTGCAACTTCGAAAAAGAGAATCTGATAAAGCTTTTCTTGCCTAGAGTCATTGAGTCATTATAAACCTTAATTCTATTAAGGATCTTCGGCAGTCTTATTTCTTTCACTCTTGCTCGAGCCGGATGATGATAAATTCTCATGTCCGGTTCCTTTGGGGGATGGATCCTAAAGAGTTCACCTATCCCAATAACAAAGAAACCAGACTTAAATGATCATGTATTAAGAACTAAATTATCTAAAGGGATGGGACATAATTATTACGGGGAACCCGCATGGCCCAACGATCTTTTATATATTTTTCCAGTAGTAATTCTAGGTACTATTGCATGTAATGTAGGTTTAGCGGTTCTCGGGCCATCAATGATTGGTACAAAAGGCCTCTGCCCTCCCTCTCTATCTATCCAAGAGATGGAAGGGCAGAGCTTTTTTTTGGTTTTTTCATCTTTTCATCAAAGAGTTGAACAATGAAGATAGATGGCAAGTGCCTGATCGATTTGATCAGGCCGTGTAGGAACAAGGTTCAAATCGTTCGTTCGTTAGGATGCCTCAGCTGCATACATCACTGCACTTCCACTTGACACCAATTTAAACGGCTCGTCTCGCCGCTACCTTATCCTATTTCCAACGCATCTTCACAGACCAAGAACTACGAGATCACCCCTTTCATTTTGGGGTGATGGAGGGATCGTACCATTCGAGCCTTCTTTTCATGCTTTTCCCGGCGGTCTGGAGAAAGCAGCAATCAATAGGACTTTCCTAATCACATAAAATACTCAGCCAGGGCTGCTCCCGTA